AGTACCTGAGCTGCCCAGTAGATACCGAGACGTTCCGTTTCCTCAGCTGACAACTCTCGACCTCCGCGCCTACACAATCACCAACGAAGCCCTCATATCATTCCTTGGACGCATCGAAAAAACCATACGGTCCATCGGCTTTAGAGGTATTCAACTCAGCTTAGACACGTGGTCATCCGTCTTCGAAGCCCTCACAAAGCTCGAGAAACTGAATACACTAAGCCTGGGGCGGGTGTTGGAGACGAGAAGGGCAGCGATCCCATCCAATCTGGATGACGGCGGCTACGTCTGGAGCACGGAAGCTACATCCAGGAGACAAGATCATATGCCTCGATATCTGTCTGTTGGCAAAGGGTCATGTCCATTTGCCTGCCGACGAAGGGCCGGGTGGCAACAAAGCGCGTGGTATTCGTTCTCTGGGATTCCCGACCACTTACCGTCTTACAACTGAGACACAAGATATGAGTGTTCAGCAACCAAGATAGCGCAAATGAAGCAAGCTGCACTGAAAGGGTTGATATACCTTCAAGCTCTGTGCTGTTGCCTAACAGGCGTGTACAAGGATGCGAATAATTCAGGCTCTCTTGAAAGCCAGCTTTGGAGAATAAAAATTGAACATGAAATCACTTTGCTTTGTGTCAGTTGTCAAGCATGTTGATGACTTGACGCAATCCCGTACTGATGACGCTGTGATTCGTTGGCCCGACGGCGGCATGATCGCCGCACACTAGCACGGCCACGACAGGCCATCATCGTGCTCAAGATGAAGAAAATAAGACCATATGCGAGCCAGCGGCATCTTCGGCATGTGATGGGCTCACCGTAGCACGATGGGCATGTTTTGTGTCTTGGTGTAGAGCATCGTGGTGTGATCCGGGATCTCGCAAGCCGTGCGCTGCCGAAGGTAATCGCCCTGCAGCGGAAGGCGGTGAAACAAAACGGGGATGCGCAGCCAAGGGCGATTGGTCGCGGCGCATCTCTGGGCAGGCACTAGTTCCTTCACACCAGCGCGGCCCCCCGGAACCGTAGGTGGCAAAGTGGTGCAACGCTGATCGGGGCGCGACAATCTCCAATTTAATCCGCCTCCTTTGCACCTCTTTTACTCTCTTCCCAATTGCACCTCCGCCAATCGCTCGTTCACCATCAACCCTCTCTGGTCGCTCCTTCATTTTTCCTCTGCACAAGAGACGACTGCTCACAGGTTCTCTTTGTTGTCGCGAGCAGGCAAAATGTACGTTCCTGATAAGCTCCGATGCCGCATAACCTAGATACTGACAGAGGCCAGGAACGCAACCTCGATCCTGACGCCAATGGCGCAGGACACGTACTGGGGCTCCTTTGAGGAGATCTCCAAGTACAATGTGCAGCTCAGCTACCTAGAGAAGATGTGGATGGCGTGGTACACGTGGATGGGCAACGACGTCCTGGCGACGGGAATCATGTCTTTTGTTATCCACGAGCTACTGTACTTTGGCCGGTCGCTTCCCTGGGTCATCATTGATTGCATTCCACGCTTTAACAAGTTCAAGATCCAACAGGTACGCTCCACATCACAAACTCGATTGCGGCGACAGCTGACCCTATGAAGTACAAAATCCCCACCGCTTGGGAACAGACCCAATGCGCTCTCCTCGTCCTACTCTCCCACTTTACCGTTGAGCTCCCCCAGATCTGGCTCTTCCACCCCATGTGCCAGTACTTCGGCCTCGCGACCACGGTCCCGTTCCCTAGCATGTACAAGATGGCCTATCAGATTGCGATTTTCTTCGTCTTGGAGGACGCATGGCACTACTGGTCTCACCGCCTGATGCACTCCAGCTCGTTCCTCTACAAGAACGTTCACAAGATCCACCACCAGTACTCCGCCCCCTTTGGTCTAGCTGCTGAATACGCCTCGCCCATTGAGGTTATGGTTTTGGGCTTCGGAACCGTCGGTGTGCCGATTATGTGGTGCGCCATCACCAAGGACCTCCACATCCTGACCATGTACACCTGGATCGCGTTCCGCCTGTTCCAGGCTATCGATGCGCACAGCGGTTACGAGTTCCCCTGGAGTCTGCACCACTTCCTGCCCTTTTGGGCTGGCGCCGAGCATCACGATGTGCACCACGAGAAGTTTATCGGCAACTATGCCAGCAGCTTCCGGTGGTGGGACTTTGTCCTTGACACCGAGGCTGGCGCGGAGGCATCCAAGGCGAGGAGAGAGCGAAAGATGGCACAGCTCAGGAAGGGTCAGTAAACTTGTGGAACACACTCGGATGATGACACGTCGGTTTTAGCCGCGCATTCCAGCCTTCAGATGGCAAAGTCATTAACCTATTACCCCACAAGCTTAGACTTGGAGCTGGCATGAACGGCGTTTGGGTAAAGGGAAAACGGTGGTTACGCCCTTGGCTGCAATACTAGATGAAACGCACGCTTGGTAATGGGTGGCAGAGGTGCTTGTGTGAATAGGGGAGGATCTTTATAGAACATATACCTAATATATCACGGTCGCTACATCAATACTCTTTTTCGCTGCTCACCCTTGCTTGAAATGCGAACCCATGTTGACTGAGACAAATAGTACACTGAACTACTTGGAGTTCTGTGTTGGCTCTTTGTGCTCGTCGCGATAGGGTGATGGTCTTGGCGCGGTGAGGGTGACCGATTTTCCGCGCGTCGGCATCTCTCACCTACAACTTTCTTGGAGCAAACTTCACAACCACAATTTGCCGACGATACACACGGCACCATGAGTTCCGGGAGGCCTGTCGTCCATCAGGACTACATTGCGAAGATCAGATATTCAAACGCGCTCCCGCCTCCACCATGTCCACCCAAGCTGCTCGACATTCCCAACACTGGTCTTTCAAGCGGACAGTACACGTCGGTGGGCTTTGCGTCAAGACTGGCGCGAGAGCAGGCGCTGAACATTGAGGCGGACGCTGAGCTGGGCATGCCCATCGATCTAGTCGGCATTCCCAAGGTGTTTGATGGCGACGAGTCTGGTAAGAAAGAGCGGTTGCGCCGACTACCTTAAGCAACTGACGCGTCGTGTAGCGATCCAGGCCATGGTACACCCGCCGCCGCTAAGCTCTGCGGACAAGGCGCTGATGCGCGCCCCCAATGCGCTCGGAAAGACAGCGACCAGCGCTGCGGGCACCACCTTCCTGCGCCGAACCGAGTATGTCACGTCGAGCACAACGGGCGGGTCCAAGTTTGAGTCTAGTAACTCGTCGAACACGATGCGCATACGGCGGAAACGGAAGATTACAGAGACGTCGTTGGACGACCCTACCAACATCGCTCGGCACATCCTGAAGGGCTTCAACATTGCATATCCGGCAGACGCATACAACGGGCAGGACAATGCGGAGAACCTCCGAGCAGCAGAGTCGACGCCTGAAGAGCGCCTGGCGTGGAACAAGCCGAAGCACCCCAAGAACCCCAATCTCAGGCTCCTCGACGCGTACCCACTGCTCCCCGATTGGGACGCTACTCCCGACACCGGTGCGTACATGGTCTTCAAGTTCACCGCGCCGCCCATCAACAACCCGCTCGATACCTCGTACGATCCGCGTCTCGACGTTGCCATCCTCCGTCCCGCCGGCCAGACGCTCCAAGACCAAGCAAAGTTCCACGAAGAACGGGAGGCGCACAGGCAGGACCCGACTGGCCCGCCACCCATTCCCCGCTACCAGTTCGAGTTCTTCCTGCCCTCGGACAAGAACAAGGTGCGCGGCATAAAGCGCAACTTCACGACCCACGACCCCACAAACGACGCAGACATCGACTTTGACATTGCCGAAGACGACGAGGGCCAGCCGCGCAAGTGCTTCAAATATGACAACATCCGTACCTACGAGACGTCGGCGCAGGTCGGCGACCCGGGAGATACCTACGGCGACGTCGTCGCGCTGGCGCTGCACGACCCTGAGAAGCACGAGAGTGAGCAGCTGAGGGATACCAGGCTGCAGAAGGCCGCCTTCTTCTACCCGATTAGCCAGAGGACTAGTCTGAGGCCGAGGAGGCCGGGTCGCGTGGAGCTGGTCGAGGAGGAGCCGCAGAAGGTGGATGTTATCGAGGTGGCTGGCAAGGAGCCGGGGCTTACGGCGGAGCCGCGGGAGGGATATAGGAAGAGGGCTGAGGGGATTGAGACGTAGGCTTGAGATGTTTGATGTGGTCGTGAGCTTGGATTGGTTCTGTCATAGCGTTGGCGTTTGGAGGTGGGTATGTACAACATGCATGTAGTATAATGCCAATGGGGATTTTTTTTTCAGGAGCTCTTGCCACTACACTGGCTTTGCTAGCCTTCGAGTGAGGCAACACGGGACTTCTTTGTTCGCGTGGGACCTGTTTGCTCGTACTGTGTACCTTCGATGGATTACTAGAGAGAGAAGCTTGCTTCACACGATAATGCCACGCCGTTTGCTACTGAAGTCTTCTCAGGTAATTAGACCTAACTGAGAGAGAGAGAGATAGAGAAAGAGACAGTTGATGCCACGACTAGCTAGCTAGCTACTACTCAAATGCTGCGGATCATAATTCTCCATATATGACACGCATCTCACAGACCTTCTCGCTCTTCAGATCTGGGGTTCAGGCTGGTAGGTCATTTTGCGAGTTGAGTTGGGCCCTTGCTTTCTTTTCCCGTAGATTAATCGTTGTATACTTCTCCTTGGTCGCCCTGGTTCTTGTAGCTTAGGTGTGGTCATTAAACCGCGCGATACTAAGGTAACGATGTAAAAGATCGAATGCTGTGTAGGTTATCTTGTTGCGAAAGAAGGTTTGTAGCGCACAAACTGTTTACGTAGGTAACGAAGCGTGGCTTGTATCCGGACTATGCCTACCTACAACTCGCTGTCTGTTTTACTGTAGCACAAAGGGTATTCGTGTGGTGGTCTAGACCTAAACTCACAGCCTCAAAATCAAAAACTCACACACCATCCCTTATACTTATCCCGCATTTCAGGATGGCAAAAGGAGTGCAAAAAGAAGGTCCCGAAGGACTAGTATGTTGCCAACGGTGGGAGTCGAACCCACGCAGGTTTCCCTATGAGAATGCGTCTTCGTAAGAAGATAAGCTTGCGCTTGAGTCACACGCCATAACCACTCGGCCACATTGGCTATTACATGATTGATGGAAGTTCCATACAAAAATATGTTTATAATGTGAGTTCTGACTAAAATCTCGGAGTGTTGGTGGGTCGAGATGTGGGGTCTTCAGTTTTGCCAAGGGGTAAGTGGACAGCGGGCTGAACCATGGGCGGCAAGAGATTGATCTAACTCTGCTTACGCTAGCGAATATACCTACAAGGCACGTAAGATCCGAAACTGTGTATGGTGGTGTTCAAAGCTGAGGGCCTGTGCGGTGGTAAAGTACGCTAAATAGGCATTCTAGCAGTGCATCTCGCACATACAGAAGGTTTCGCTGGCGTCATACAGCTTGCACCCACGCGAAAGTCATTTCAGATCACTTTTCCACTTCAATTCCTCCTCTTAAACCCTAACTCCTTTCTTGTCACAGCATGTGCGATATCTACTAAGCCAATTGATCTTGGAAGAGCCCAAAGCGTCGAAAGAGAGCATTATGTTCCGCCCCAGTTCAGTGGTATCTTTGCCAGATGAAGACCCCGAAAATCACAATTGGAAGCCGCGTTTGCTCCTCTCACATGCTTTCTGAAATTTACCGTATTTCCACTTATTTAGTTCGTCACGTCGTCTTTTTAACTATCGTCCTCGAGGTTTTTTACACTCTCCACTCCCCGCTCCTCATGATTTCTAATCACCCGACACCCTCGATCAACCATAACACGATTCAACACGACATCCTAGAATAGATTTAAGAGATCCAAAATCGACCCAAGACAAGGATTCAGCATCGACCATGGACGATCCAAACTGGAGCTGTCAATGGGACTAGGTATCGAACATGGGGAAATGCGTGTCTGTATTGACTATGGGAACGAGAGCTCTATATATGCTAGGAACTCGGTCAACCGTATCACAGGTACAAACGCCTGGAAGGTTGTTGAGCACTATACCTGAGGCAAGGTCATACCATAGGGAGTAGATAGCAAACACACCCCGGGTACATACATAACTCGGGTACATACATGGGTAGCATCCCATAGGTAGCAAACAGGCTTGGGTATGTATGACAGGCTCGGGTATGCATGACTCGGGTACATACATAACTCGGGTACATACATAACTCGGGTACATACATAACTCGGGTACATACATACCTTGGGCACAGAACCCAGAAGGCCATAGAATACCGTGGCTGACAGGAGCCACCTCAATGCAAGAACCTGTGGACACACACACATCTTGGCACCAACACTGACTTTTGACAGAAGCATGAGCACCCCAACAGCTTCAGATGGTCAGACACCGAGAATAGACTGTTCGTCGGCTACCAACTCCAGGACGTCAAGGACGTCAAGAAAGAGAAGGAACACAAGGGAGGTGAAGTCTGGATTGGCTACCACCAGAACGTTGTGACCAACCCGACAAACACGCTGAAGTTGGAGTTTACGTTCTACGATGGCCCCAACATGTGAGCCCGCACCTTGAATGCCAATGATGTGGACACCCAAATGTTGACCGAGCATGTCCGCTGAGACCGGCATTGGAAAGCAGATCTCGTGAAGATGTGCATCATCAAGTACGACAAGGACTACGAAGACGATCACGAGGACTATGACGGGGAAAGGGAATTGGACGCCGTAGATCCGAAGTACGCTGATGTTGCCGACAAAGAGTTCGCTAAGAGCGAAAGGTTATTTTTCCAATTCCACACCAAATTCTCACCTGATATGTTAAAACAATCTGCGAAAACATTGGCGGAACCCTCATCTTCAAGGAGTACCCGTCTGGAGATCTTGCTGAGCACATGCGCGAGTATGCCCGAACAACAGGATTCTCCGTGTGGGCCGCGCCGAGATGGGTTCCATGGCTCAAGGAAACAGGTCAGAGGATAAAGAAGAAAAACGAGGAAGCCAACAACGCGGATGTTGTCGACGACGTAGGCACTGACAACGAGTTCACTGCGAACAAAAACTTCTTCTTTCGAGTAAGCGTTGTTCTCTCGGACGACATTCAGGAGATAATTGGCAAAGACATGGGTAGTACTCTCAACCTCAACCCACACCCTTCGGGCGAGATCATTGGTCACATGCGCGAATTTGGCCAAGTGACAGGCTACACGGTATGGGCCTCGCCGCATTGGAACACATTCTTGCAAAAGACGGGTCAGAAAATCGGGAAGAAAAAGGAGGTCCCCGCCAGCTTTGCAGGGAGCTAGAGGAGAAGATGCTGTCAAGGACTGGGTAGGGATCAACCACAAATATGCTCGAAGTCAAGAGGCTGCCTGTTCGCAAAGTCTGAGATTGTCGTATAGGAGGGCTTGTAGCCAAAACTGAACACCATGTTTATTCAGTTTACTAGGTATTAGGTTGGAATTCTGGCCTTCAACATAAGATTCGGGGTCATCTTGCTTTTTACGGAAAAGTTTACCATATGCGAATTTATATTAGCCATCACATCACATTCCAACATGTTGAAGCCAATGCGGGTACTGGCTATTGTTGGATTCAATGCAGACGCTGCGCAGTATGGCAACCATATCAATACTAATATTTTAGGTAGGAGATTGCTGGCCTTAACAGCCCTGGAGTGTAATGGCCTCAAGTCTTCCAGATGCCGCTTCCATGGCCCAGGCTTGCGTTCAAAAACCGCCACATCTTGGTTTCAACGTCTTTGGGGCCAAGATATACATGCAACGTAGTTTGAAGTTCGGCGGGGCTGGTTTCGTCGTCAGCAGCCGATTGACATCTTGGGTGCAGTCAATGCCGTGGGGGGAGGAGCAATCAGGTTGAGGCCGTTGTTTTTGTCTTGTTCCAAAGCGGACTTTTGGTAATTACCAGCCCAAAGTATTGGTGAACTTCTTGACTCCAAGTGGTTGCTACGAATTGTTCACCACAACGTCGTTATGGGACCTGTTCGAGCACCTGCGCGGCTATGAGCTTGATTCTCAACACAAACTCCGGATGTGAGCGGAAGCTCAAAGAGCTGTAAATTGCCCGTAAGTGAAATGTTGACGACAAGGCCTCCGAGGAGACCTAGGCTGTTGGTGTTCTCAATTACGATCTCTTCCATGCGGTCAAGGCTCCATTGGACACCAGCAAAGGGTCCTTATGGACATTTCCCCGCCAGAGTCAACAGAGCAACGGTCCATAGTCCGACCTTGTCTTTTAGACCACCCGAGCTGCTGTATAGAACGATACGGCTTCACCGGGCACGGTTGATTTCAATAGGTCTGCTGCCTGTGGATGCTTTGATGACAAGCCAAGGGATTGTCTCGGTGCCAAATGTCAGTCAGACATTGGTTTGTGTAGGCCGCATTGTATGCAAAGGAAAAGAGGTTGCTGAGGTCGCACGCCCGTCGCCGAAATCGAGGTACGAGGCCATGACTGGGGTCGGATCGAATGGGTTGTCGCCATCGAGCCACCTTTTTACGTCCACATGAGACTCGGTATAGCGAGGGTTGAGAACAAGGATTATCGAGGCTACCGCTAAGGTGTGAGAGGATGGTGAATAGGCCATGATATTCACTATGAGAGCTAAGAGCTAAGGAGCTATGATGATAGGCTTACTGCTTCTATACATGGGTGCCAGGCCATGGTCATGTGACATAAGGTGTGCGCGGGGTGAGGGTGGCTGGAGAAGCAACTGCGTAGAATCGAGGCGGAGCTGCATGTTGAGTTGTCTGGTCGTCCAGCCAGACCCACAACGCGCTCGACGGTAGTCAGGGGCTTCTGTTCAAGAGCGATGGTCGTGGATGGGGGTCCCGCCGTACAAAGTCGAGGTTAGCCAGGTCTACCAGTTTAAAAGCAGCTAGTCACGCACTCCCATTATCGCCCCGTCTGCGCAGCGTAGTGGCTGCGGTGATATCCATAGTGAGCGACCAGCGAGGTTCTAATTCTGCGGACATGGAGCGATGAATTTCGGTGGGCGAAGCTAGATTGTTGATGCGTGACGTGTTGTTTCTTGTTCAGGAGGCAATGATGCTGGTGCAGAGACACATCACCTTCCAACCCAACACCGAAGCCCGCCAAAACCGACAAACGTACCCAAATTATTTCGTCGCCGCTACCATCATCTTCTGCAACTCTTGGTCACATCCAGCCTGTCGGACGAATGGCTTGACCCCATGAGGGCAGCTTGACATCGAATTCTTCTTCGGTGGCTCAGGGCAGCGTTCAAAACTTGGTACAGCCGGGCTCGGATGGAAGCCGTAAAGCATACATCACTATCTCTCGCTAAGAAAGTACCCCCAATGATAGGCCATTCATGGCAGCTAAGCGCACATACGCTGGCATCAACTTCGGTTGCTCGATGTATGTCTACTGGTTGTCGTGAGTTGAAGTCGATGGGTTTACCACAAAATCTGTCTTGTGTTGGAAGTGCCATTGCAGCGGCGTCGGGGGTCGTGTTATGGAGATCCGAAAAAGCGTGGGGATCATGAGTGTGTCAGGTTAAGGGAGGAAACTGGTGAGCAACGAACAATCGAAGCATTGAGCCTAATGCAATATTATATTATGTCAGTGCGCCATAGCGAATGCGATTGGTCGACGCACGCGCCTAGCTCCGTACTTCAGGACAGCCGCCGATCCATCTTCCCTAAACCTCCAACTTCATATTACGATCCGGGCTACCGTTCAACGACCCCTCTTAAATCGCTAGATAAGATCTGTAGACCATCTAAAATAGTGTTGTAGCTATTGCTCTCGGACGTCCTGCAGACAAGAAAAACATGAGCGACGGGCTGGACAGCCCAGACCGAAGTACGGGTTGAGCGCAAGCAAAAGTTCGTTCAAGGTCAAGAAGAGGAATCTCTCCATCGAAAGCATATAGCCCTACGGGGTCTCCTTTTCCCACTCTTTTGCCCTTCCAAAGTGCTGGATAAGTGTGGGAGGGATGGCCGTGGGGGCGGTCCCTACGGGGCCATCTTTTTGCACTCTTTCTGCAATGATTTTGTACTATTTTTGCATTATCTTCTGCCTAGGGCGGGGTAGAGTAAGTATCACTACTATAAGGTAAGGTGTACTGTGCGTGCAGGC